GACCACACATTCGAAGGTGAACGACTTTTTTCGGTGATCCCTTCTAGTTTCAACTAGTTAAACAGGGAAGGGATGTGCAGAAGTGATTTAAGGGCCCATGTGGATTGTGGAAATGTTTTGATTCGTCTGTAGTGTTTTTATATGGCCATACTGGGGTGTATCGATAGGTCATGGTAGTCACATGATTCGAATAGAGGTTATTGGGTTTGGAATGGCCGACCACAGTATGATTCGATTGTTGAGTATGAACCAAGTTGTTCTGCTTTCATAGAGTTGCTTTCAGTAGGCTAAAGCTGATCTTCTCTGCCGTGGAGAGAGTGTGTAGAAGGCATAGATTTGAAGAGATTCAGTGCCATTATATACACTGATGATCCATGAGCACCAAGACTCTATACCTTTTGCAATTCAAGTTGCACCGATATCACTTAAAGATGCTTGAACCTCATTTCAAGATGTCTGAGCATTTTTTAAAATTTATTTAAAGCTGTCTCGTTGACCTCATCGGCGAGGACAAGCCTTCCAGCGATGTCTGGATGACTACCATGTAGTACAGNCCTTACGCTGAAGCGCGGGGGACAGTTATGAGACGTGCCTTGGTCACACACGCCTCAATTATCATAACACATGTTGCTTGCTTATCTTGCAAGTACGCGTACGCGTCTGTGTTTGTGTGTTTATCCCCCTCCGCTGACACCAGTAAATCATGCGCGATCAACGCTTGAGCCATTGCTTACCTCCGTAGCATGATGTTGCAATGGAATTCACAAGCTACACCTCAATCGGTCACACTTGGGAGAACAAGCAATCATGTGTGATCGATATGCACTTCAGTGTTGACCAGATTCATATCCAGTTTGTTCCAGACTCATTTCATAATCCATCTCTGTGACACCACTTCAGAAGCACCGTACAGTCCAAATGACCATTTTGGCCATATTTTTGGAACGAAATGGTATATCTCTATCGAATCAACTGCAACGGAAGTAACGTAACGAGGGCTATCGAAACATGCCATAAATTTCATAACAGTTAGGCAATTTTATAAGAAAATACAAGTTCAAAAATTGGAATGTTTCGAAAAATGCACTTTTCTAAGTATGAGATCTGAATTCGATACTTTTTATCGCTGAGATCATACAGTCTTAATTAAACACCTCCACCACACAAATTAAACCGGGTTTATAGCGTATGACATTCACAAGTTGTAAATGCAAACTGGCTTCGAACAATCGTATTGCCATTGTCCCACTTCTCGATTCAGGTTCACGATGGGAACACCACCGTGGTCGTTCTGTTCATAGTGATTACCTTAAGCCACCACCAACCAGAAACTGTAAACGTGGTCGATAAATTAGTAAGTATTAGAAAATGAGAATACATTTTCGATCAAATGTAAATCAGCGTTAGACAAACCCGTTAGTGTCAACACACAGTCGCAGCTGTAGAACCCACTAAAACTCACTTTGACTATCCCACCTATGCGTTTTCATGTTAGAACAGGTATATTCAAGTTCGGTTCTTAAGTTTTGCTGAACGGGATAACAAACGCAGGCATATAGGGGTATTAAATGGCAGCCAAAAATCCATAGACTAACAATCCCCGTACTTCCTGTTCCTCCACATCGGAGTCACTTGTGCAATGCCTCTCAATCCCGTCAGTGAATTGCTTTGTCATTCAGTCCACATAAGTGATGTGGTATAACAGACTAGAAGGAAGTTACACACAGCAAAAGATATTCAACTGAAGTCGGTATCGGGCAAAATTTCGTTGGATCAGTCAAGTAATACGTTTGGTAGAATACAATTATACTTAATGTATCAAACGACCTGAAGTGAAATAAGCTAAAAGCAATAGCCAGTCATAGATCCACATGCATTTGTCGTAGGTCATCCATTTCTAATATATACGATCAGGACAGTTCAGCTTGGACTAGTGAAGCTCATAGTAGTAGAAGGAATAACAGTTGATCGATTCTCAGGTACAATAATTTAGTCAGAACTCCAAAAAAAAAACAAATCGAACAAATTCTAATGTTTTTATATCTGCGCTCTTAACACATAACACTAATATCTTTGGGTAAAAATGCTTAGAGCTATAGAAATAGGATTTTAAAAATCAATGCAATCTTTCGGACAGCGAAAAAACTAATTCAAAAACACTTCAGATGAGCTGATTTGAACAAAAGTGAAAATCCGGATACAGAGTTTAAGTGCGCACACATTTTCAGTGAACTAATCCCCAGATCAAAACATTATCAATGCCATGAATCACACAAAATCAGGCGTGTGATGTAACATGTGTAACAAGGACATCGAGCTGCACAGACGAAGGTTGTGTAACTGTTCGAAATCATATTGCGTCACAATTACGCTTTCTTCCACGGGATGATCGGTGTTTTATTTGAGAGCACGAACCGGTTAATTGCCTTAGACGCTACTATCCCGTTGGGCCTCATTGACCTGATACGAGAAAGTGCATCCCCCTTGATATTGTTGATCGCTATTGTGTACAGTTATCGATTGAGGTTCCGGTCTTGAAAAGTTGAGGTTAAGCCAAAGTGAGTGATGCTTTCTGATGGTCTTTGACGGTATCCTGGTTGTTCTTGAGGTGTGAGTGCCCAAGGCTGTTGCATCTGCCAGTGCGTGACATTGTTTTTATTTAAAACAGCTACAAAACTATATGTACCGGATTCTGGTCATTGAATTCAAGCAGCTATATCCCGTTTACCTTTGTTTGAAACGGTTCATTTAATTTTTTTCTGTTTACAGTTGACGGTTGATAACAAATACCAAACTAGCTTCACCTACGCGTTTCAAATCGGCTTGCTTTACATTCCACGTTGTCTAGAGTTCTTCGTGTCTCATCTTCAATCTTCACAATGTAATAAAAACTTCGTGAGGTATCCTCAACAGAGTGAGAAGCAGATACTTAAGAAGTGGATTGTAAATGCGCCTATCCTCCCACTCTCATCGGATGAACTTGTTCCGTGACAAAGTAATTTAATATGCTATGTGAGTGTGCGTGTCAAAAAACGACCATGGAACCCGATCGATAACAAATGGCTCACAATTTGCACCAAGTCTGGAGGAGGTTCTAACGGATATTGAGTTGTAATCTAGTTCAATCTATAGGGATGCACTGAGAGGATAGTATGAATAATTCAGAATGAAGTTTTGGACTAATAAAATTGACGCTAAAGGTGTTAAGCACGTAAGAAAATCGATGAATCCTCAAAACGTATGACCCGTATCAGAACAACAATAAACCGACACTGACGTCTGTACATTGAAAAGTGTAACAAACAGTTGTTTTAAAATTCTTGTCTCTTTGTGCTCAAAAAGTATGTCGTTGAGAGTGCAGTCCACGAATGCGGATTCTGGCCCGCAACTTGTGAATTTTCACGGCTCCAGTAGAAAAAGAGAGAGTACAAAGGTAGTATCCTCGATTGATGAATCGTTAGTTTAACGTCCAATCACTAGAAGTACAAGAAATTACTGTTCGGCTTGCCGAGATAGCTCATTGAACTGAATAAGTATTGTATCGACAAAGTGGTAGTGGTCTTGAGTTAAACAATTGCTTTCACTGTGAAATCAAAGCTTCTGGAGACCGAAGTGGAAAAACGTTTGTTTGTTATCCGTATCACACTTATTTCGTATTCTCACGTACGTGTTACATAATAAAACCCACAAACTAAGGGCTGTTGCCAAATTAGGTTGTTTTCTACCTCTCGTTTTATTGATAACATGGTCGTTGTACCTTTGAACTGATACCGATTTCCGAGCGTGTATTGCGTGTTCCTCAGTCCTATATTACAGTAAAAAAGAGCTGACGCTGTGAGCTCGTAGGACAGACAGATGAGCAAATCAAATATTTTCTGAAAATTGAATCTCAAAAACCGTTTATATTTGTGAATCGTTTGACGAGAATATGACAGAGATAGAGAGACAACCTCGGACTCAAAAGTACTGAAAAAATGTGTGGTGCGAAATATCTCGTCTCATCACCTCCACACACAACATGCACTTTTACACAATGTGGACTTGAGTCGTTTTTAACAGGAACAACAACCGACGTTATTCGATGATCCCTCATGCGAGTTCAAAGTTCTCGTTTGAGTTGACACGTTCGAGTCTCCTTACTGTCGATTCATAGACAAACTGATGTCGCATTATCATCGCAGATTTCTAATGGCACTTATGTTCTACCACTATGCTGTGAAACCTAGTTTAGTCAAACGTCTAAATCGAACAAATAGATATTCTTGGAAACGCTACCTATAGTCTCATCTCCATAACAATAGTTCATGTAAGCGTAACTGTGACCATCTGAACAATCTACCATGGTGACTCAAATAGTGGTCCCCATGGTAGAAAGTAAGCATTTGGTGAGATCGACTGTTCACATTGATATTTTTACTCTATTCGATGGGTTCACCGTTTCGAGAGCTTAATGTCCGCTTGGAATGGGATTTCCCCTTTTGGGAAGCGATTACTAGCTATCAGCTACGGTAAGCACTAAAAGAGGTCCCAACAGAGTAATTGATTTATGCACTCAGTTGATATCCGGGACCGCAAATACCACAAAGCCACGTGTACCCTAACCACTGAAATGTAGGCATAGTCGTCTGCATAAGTCGTCTATAATACAATAATACAATAAAAGATGAACTCATCCGTATTTTCGTGTGAAATACAAATTTATTTTAGGAAAATTTTCTCCAAACGTACACACAAAATTCTGCAATCATCCCTTAGTAGTCTTCCCGCTTGGATTTTTATTCAAGTGGTCAGTACAAAGAAAACAGGCATCACTAGACCAATGTCTAGTGATGCCTGATGTGTAGTGAATATTGGATCACTCTTTTCAATCGATCGGATGAAGCACCCGAAATCCATTCGGCATCAGTGAAGGAATGCGAAGGTAGACCGAGGTTCGAACACAAATATGAACCTCAATCATGTCTATGGTGGACATTGTGGTTCACAAAGCATAATGCAGC